CCAGCCTCAAGCCCTGCGGACGCGCTGGCATACGTTGGTTCATCTCGCTTCTGCCCGCGCCCAACAAGGAACTCAACGAGCGCCCATCCAGGGGCTGCCGCGGACCGCAGCCCTCGACGCTCTCCAGAGGCGCGGTGGGTTCGGTCCCGATTGGCTGGTAAGCCCCAGGAGGCCTCAGGAGGCTCCAAGAAGCAGGAAGCTTCAGTATACCCCAGGAAGCCCCAGGAGGCCCCAGGATGCCCGAGAAGCCCAAGGAGGCTTCAGGAGGCTCCAGGAAGCTCCAAGAAGCACCAGGAGGCCCCAGGCGCCCGACGAACTGGCGAGCGAAACATGTGCGCCGCGCCTTGGCGGGAGCGCCACTTTCAGAAACAAATGCGGCGCCGAAGCGAGAACGACATATTTTTTTCGCGCGGGGTGCGCGCCGCGTCCCGTTCCTGCCACGCATTTGGCGACGTGGACCACGGGACGTCCATGTTGAGAGGAGAAACGTCGATGTTGCACTGTTGTTTGCCATTGGGATGGGACCCCTCGGATTGGCCCCCAATCGGCCGGGGAGAGGGCAGAGTGGGAGCATATACCAATAAGGAATGAGGATAGGAGCAGGAGTAGGAGCAGGAGTAGGAGTAGGAGTCAAGCTAGCCAGCTCGAGCGAGTCAAGCATGGCATGCCCAGTCCCACCCGCCCTCCCACAACATAAGAAGCAAAGCTGGCACAACTGGGGGCCGAAGTCACACCGGCCAGCCGGTTTGGTACAGCTGATGCGGCCGCGATGGCGGTTGCCGACGGGAACTGGCGAGCGCGTGTTGAATGCCGCGCACGCATTGCCAGACGAGTCGAGAATGGCCCGGTACACCGCAGGAAGCCAGAGGTGGCCGGAGGAAGCCCGACGGTCTGACAGGACACCCCAAAGCATTTTTGTGAAAAAGCATTGGGTTTTTGATGTTTTTATGTTGAAATGCTTGCAAACACACGGTGTTCGGTAGGATTCTGACATGAACGCGCGAGTGTGCTCTTTGTGGCATTTTTTGCACAGGATTCGCGGCCTGGGTCCATGACAGAGCATCGCGAGTGCACCGCGCGATGACGTGAAATCGCTGGATTTGACCGAATTCTTAAGATTCCTATGGTTTTCCTATGATTTCAGCAAGAGAGCCCGGGCGGGAAATTTGTACAATTTTTGTGAAAAAAGCATTGGGTTTTTGATGTTTTTATGTTGAAATGCTTGCAAACACACGGTGTTCGGTAGGATTCTGACATGAACGCGCGCGTGTGCTCTTTGTGGTATTTTTTGCAATGGATTATCGCCGTGGACGACAGGACGTCCATGTCGAGAGGAAAAAATAAGAAACATGTTGATTTTGTATTGTTTTTTTACAGGTTAGGATGGGACCACCCGGATGCGGCCCCTAATGGCCGGCCTGAGGGGGGAGTAGGAGTATATTCTAATCAGGAATAAGGATAGAAGGAGGAGATGGAGGAGGAGGGGGAGGAGGAGGAAGAGGAGCAGGAGGAGGAGGAGGAGGAGGAGGAGCGACGTCCCCTGAAGAGTCCTGGTATGCCTCACGCAGAGGCTGGATGGCGAGAGCACGAAAGCGGGCGGCGGCAGGAACATTGACGCAAACGTGGGGGGTGAGGGGGCACCGATCTCACCCTGCATGGCGTGATATGTGCAAAAAGTGATAGCAACAAAACGAACGACATAGCCGAGCGAGCGTTGACCTCTGTGCGCCAACTCTCCCCCAAACCCCAACCGAACCAAGATCTCTCGATGGAACGGCCGCTGAAGACCAGCGACAAACTCAAAACAACTCGGACACGCGAAATACTGTTGAATACCATCTTGACACCCGGGCACCTCATGCAACAAAGCCTTGGAGCCAGGGGCCAAATCCATACAACAACTGCTGATTCAGGCCCCACACAAAGCTTTGAGACCACCTGACAGCGGGTTTGCATATGCCGAGATGGGAACGCAGAAACGCCCACTTGAGAAGAAATCCCTCAAGACTGCTGAAATCAGGGAACCAACTTCTCAACCTCCGGCTCAAGGTGTCGCGAAAGTTGTCTGGGCACAGTTCTCGCGCGATCTGAGGCGCCAGAGTTCGCTGAATCTTCGGCGTCCTCCGCCCGTCCTGCCTTTATCGCAACTCTCAGGGCTTCGGCAAACGCCGTGCAGGATCTGTAGACTTGCAGCGGCATGCGCAGACACGTACTTGCGAAGCGTTTGAGGATCGTAATGCACTCTTCCCACCACGGTGGCGACCGCCATCCTTGCGATAGCCCGGCGATGGAAACGTAATATGTGTGTCAACCGCCTGCAATCTGCCGAGTGTTGGGCGCCAGCCTGTTAGCGTGATGGTGCGCATGCGCCACAGCGAAGCCAGCCACAACGCAAGAGTTGAGCTCAGGACGCCTCAACTTCAGAGAGAACACGTAAGTTGTCTTGCGTAATAAGGGGAGACGATACAGCTTGTGGAGGTCATGAATTTCGCGCGCAACTCAGCGCGGGAGATAATGAAACAATTGAGCAACTTAACAGGATGTCGGAGGTCGCGAACAAGAAAGTGAGAGCAGAAGGAGGGGCCCGGGATGCACTGGCCATGTGAATACGGGCCCACCACTTATCCATTTGATCCTGCCACTGTCGTATTGCAGTGACACCAGGTCCGAGCCACCCACCCCCCACGGTGCTTGGCAACTTTCGAAACCTGGAAACGTCCCCTCCTGGGCTCCACGTCCTGTAGATCCTCAAGTTTGCGCTGCTTCACCACATCATCAACAGGAGCCCACAAAAGGACCGCTTCGCAGTTGGCCAGCCGGAGTTCTAAGCCCGCCAAGGTCTCAGCGAATTGGAAGGTCTTAGCAATCGACGGGAGCAGGAGACGTGCGACTCAAGAGGAGGCGCATGTCACTGGCACGCGTTTTCACGACTCCATCATTGGGAGAGGGAAAGAAGGCCCGAAGGAGGCGGATTGGGGTTTCCAAGGGAGGGCCCGTAGGCTCCCAGACAACGAGTGCCCTTGAAGACCTCTACTTGACAACTCACGCATGGGGGCTAGGTCCATATCGCGAAACGTGGCAAACGCGGCGCAAACGCGACAGGGGCAGACCCCAGACAGGCTGGGAAATGCAGATTGAATGCCAAATTACCAAAAGACTGGGTGATGTGGCTCGACATTTTTCCGCCAGCCAATCCTCCTAGCTCCAACATCGAGCAAGGGAATGATCTCAGTGAGGCTCCGACCTGTGATGTGCCCCCTGCTGGGCAAAGTGAACGCGTTCAGCGACTAATTGCTTAAGAGTGCGATTTATGGCCAACCCGATAGCTTTGACATCGCTACTCTTCAAACTGAGCGGGCGCAAATCTTGACGTCTCCTGGTGACCCAGGCGGAAACATTGCTTCCCTCGCCTTTGGGTAGAAACTTAAATAGAGAATGATTGGCGTCGAGAGGGGGAGAGACCACCCAGCACAAATGTGCTCGAGAATTCGATTAAGAATGGAGGTCGCACTGGGGTGACAGTCCAGGCTGAATAAGAGGGGCGATTGGAGTCATCGGCGCTAGGCTTGGCTCTTTTGAGGGCCTGGGCCACAACTGCCTCACTAAGGATAAGGGCATCGAAAGAGGGGGACGAGGAAACTCGCTGGCCAGAAGCTCACGAATGTCATGGGCTGGCGCATGTTTGGCCGCAACAACAATGTGCCAATCCTTGCCTGGACCTTGCCCACAAATATTAATGCGAACCAGCAAAATGGCCTCGAACTCCTCGGTATGTACGTGAGCCCTCACCCCCTCCAGTCGGAACTGCCTAGCCCAAGGAGTCCAAGGACGTGCCCGCCTTGTTGCTTTGCGTCCAAGCTTTCGTTGAAATGCCTCATCCTCGTGCCTGCTAAACTGGTTGCGCACAGAAAGACATGCACGGCTGTTGCACATTTGGAAATCGGGGAACGTACGCCACGACATGCACTGGACATGTCTTAAATTACCCACTGCAGCGTGCGCCCTGTATGTGGGCGCTGCTCCAACAAGAACTCACAAAACTCGAAAACTGGCCGCGGATCAGCGGTATCCACTTGTTTCCCTAGGAAACTAAGGAAATGAGAAGGAGGAGGTTGAACATAATCGCTGCCCCCTGTCGTCGCCAACCTGTTGTTCCTCCCCCCCCGCCCCAAGAGTTGCCGAAAGACTAGCTACTCTGCCCCTTGGGGAGTCCCGTGTGCTCCATGTGGTCTCTTTTTCATTTTTTCTAGTTCGCGCAGCTCCAATAGTTTGACCACCTCCACACCGGCAATCGCCCCCAGGGGGATGGCAGCATTGAGTATCAACAACGATGTCAGCAGCGACAGCGACAAGTGGAGCAAGATGAGGACCCGTATCTTTAGTGGCTCGACAAACTCGCGCCTGAGGCATTCCGCCTCGTCTTGCCCCCCAATGCCGTTTGCAGGCCCCATGACTTTCAAATAACAAGCCAGGATGAAAAGCGTGCCTCAAAGAAGGTGTCAGGAGCTATGGGGTTGGGCAGCAGGAGCTGGACGGATGGGCCAACATCTGTGCGCACCGTCATTGACCGACGTCTTCACGGTGAGCGTTGCTTGCAACAAATGTTGTCGCGGCTCATCCTTCTCTAGAAGGAAATTACCGGCATGGAAAATCCGCGCAGATTTCTTGGATCCGGGCCAGGCCCCCGTCCTTAGCGCGCGAAGCGAGCCAGCGCTAGAAGCGCCGCCAGGGGGGCCGAGCGCCGATCCAAGAAAGCCGAGCAGATCGCCGAACATGTCGGTTCATTGTTTTGTCGTCTTCGATTGTCATCATCCTCTTTCCACCTTTTACCCTGCACCTGCCCGTCCTGCCTCGTCATCGTTGTCCTGTTTCGCCGTCGTCATCGCCGTCGTCGTCGCCGACATAAGCCATCGTCTCGATCCTGATCCGCCTCGCTGAAGGGCACGTTCTCCTCCTCGTCGCCTTCCTCGCCCCCGACGCAGAAAAAAAAAAAAAAAAACAGTCGAATCCTAGTCTTTCCGACCTGCTTCTCCTGCCCGTCCGCATCCTTCGTGTACAGCTCCATCTGGGAGGCCAGGCGCATTTTTTTCCGCGTTCGCTTACAGGTCGAAAAACCGTGGAGCATGACAGTGTAGTCGGCGGATGAAGGGGCAAGACGGATTAACAGCGCAGCAAGCAGATGGGGAGGGCAGGGAGGAGAGAGAGGGAGAGCGAGAGAGAGGAGAGAGAGAGAGAGAGACATAGACAGGTGTGTGTATGATCTATATATATACACACACACAAGGAACAACATTGATGAACAGCGAGGCACGCAAATGGGGAGGGCGGGGAAGAGACAGAGGAGGGGGAGGGAACGGCACGGGGAGCACGGGGAGGTGAGGGGAGGGAAGGGACACGGCGAGGAAGAGAACGAGATGCGAGCTGCGATGGGGGAGGGGGGCGATCGGCGGCGAGCCAGGGGGGGGAAGTGAGACGAAGAAGGCATTCTCAGAAAGCGGCAGGGCGTCTGAGAAGCCCTCCGGTCTTCTGAGGAGTCTCCTGTGTCTTCGGGGAAGGCTAAGACATCTTCCCAGAATGCCAGGGGCTTCCGAGCCCTCTGAGAAGGCTCCCCCCCTTCTTACTTCCCCTCCTCGCTCGCCGCCGGGATGGGGGAGGGGACGAGACCAGAGGCGCGAAGTGGAGCGGACAGGGGACGAGAGGGAAGAGAAGAGGGGGCCAAGAGAGGCGAAGGTGACGAGAGGGATAGGACACAGCCATCTTGTAAATATGAGGAACGCATTGTCAAGAACGTCGAGGCTTTCTGGTCCCAGCGAGCCTCGGTCACTAGAAGGGCCCCCGACCAAGATCCAAGGCACGGCCCCGAAACCACAGCCCCTCCTGAACCCAGAGCGGTCAAGCGCCTTGGCTGACTGGGGGCGACCCAGGAGGGGCGACGGCGCGGCGTGGGACAGGATGGCATGACACGAGGGGGCGGAAATAGAGGAACAGGCAATGGCAAACACATAATTTCTCTGAGGCCTGTGCGGATTTCTTGGATCGGCGCTAGGGCCCCCTGGCGGCGCCAGTCATGGCGCGCTCCGCGCGCCAAGGAAAGGGGCTCCAAAGCCGATCCAAGAAATCCGCGCGGACCTCCGAAAAATTATGGGGAGCGCGGGCGGGGCAGCAGATGCATCGATCCTGAGCCCAAGATCGGCCTGGCCAAGATGGGTGTAGTAGGTGCAAATAAAAGAGCACAAAGAGGCATGCGCATGATTTCTCGGAGGTCCACGCGGATTGCTTGGATCGGGCGTTGGGCACCCCTCCCTGGCGCGCTCCGCGCGCCAGGAGCGCCCCAGGGAGGCCCAACGCCGATCCCAGAACGCCGCACGGAGCTCAGTGAACTCGTGTCTATGCAGCTTGTTCGTCCTCAAATAAGATTGTGCCCTCCGACCTTTTATGTTCCCCTTTTCTTGTCCTTTCTCGTTTTCACTGTCCTCCTCCTCCTCCTCCTCCTCCTCCTCCTGCTCCGCCTCTTCCTTTCTTCTTCTCACATTGCGGGACGATGCGATGAGCGCACACCCTACCTGCCCACTACCGCAAAGGCGCCCTCTCACCCAATAGTGTCGTGATTGGAATCTCCATCGCCCACTCCATAAACGTCGCTTCTGCCAGAAACGAAAAATCCAGATGCCCGAACTACTTGCCTGTCGGGAGCAAAAGCCGCCCCTGATTAGGATGTCGGCATGCGTGCACAGCCATGCCGCCGCCACCAACGCAAACCCGAAGGCACATGCCCTGCATCTAGGCGGTTTCGATAAGTCCTTTGATCTTGCCATTCCCAATCTCTTCTCACGTCGAGGGCGACATTCGCCGCGTGATCGGCGACTGCGTTGAACTCCCGCTTGTTTCATTCGATGAATGGTGGTGCACTTAGCCGGGAAAGACAATCCAACGTCAGCAACAAGTGCAAATGTCGGCCCAAATGTCCGCCTCCTCTTCCCCCTTCTTTCAGGCTGAGAACTTACCTGCTCATCCATATGTTTTCCAGGCTGCTGAAGGACACGCCACTGCGAACAGGGCGTCTCCCGCGCGCCAACGGCAGTGCGTGCAGCAGCCGCGCACCGCAATCAATGGGCCGTGCAGGCACGGTTTCGGGGGCGACGATGGGGGCGACTAGCCCGGGGGAGAGCGACACGTGTATCCGGAAACGCCGATGGTCCATGCCTTCGGCGAGGCTCCCAGGCGAATGCGTGTAATGCCCGCCCCTGGGCTATTCGCCCCGATGGTCACCGAGGGTTCTGACTCTCTGACTGACCTCCGACCCTGCTCTCCGGCGAGCGCGCGGAGCCTGGTACCAAGGCCCTGCGATGTTCTCCCGGAGCTCCACGCCCAGCCGCCGTGCGGCCATGTTGAGCTCCGGGTATGTCACGAAGTCCTCCGCGATCAGGGGGGAATGCAGGATCAGTCGGCATCGAATCGGAGAATCGGATCGAATTGGGGTGTGCGTTGAATCGGGCTGCATCGGCACGGAATCGACATCGAATCGGATCGGCTGCGCAAGGATGCACAACAGCGGCATGCAGGCATCGGGCCGCATCGGATCATCGGGGTGTCCGAATCAAATCGAGTCAGGCCAGCTGAACTCGATATCCACCAACAAAAACAAACTGCAATGTGATAGGAGACAGCTTCTGGGAAATATTCGAATAAAACGATTAAGGGCTGTTAAGCCCGACTAGGGGCCATAGAGCAAGATGCGCCCAGATCAAGTCTGAGGTAAAGCACGACTAAGCTGAATTCAACGGGATTGAACAAGATTCTGACATATTTGGCGGGTGTTTGGCCGCGGGTATACCAGCGCCGATGCTGAATTGGACCCACCAGGAATCGCATGCTAACAGATGCTCGTCATGAGCAAATTAGGGAGCCATTTCTTGAGTTTGCCTTCAGCGAGCTCCAGGCCACCATTGCCTGCACGCCGCCAGAGACAACAGCCTCCAGGGACTAAGGGAGGGGGTCCACGCGAGGCCGAGCTGCACTGCTGGGGGCCCCCCTGGCTCGCCTGCGGGACCTCCCTCCCTGGACCCACGACGTATCGTTTCTTCCACAGAGTGGACTCCCAAGTCTGGACCACTAGAACCCTCTCCACCCCGACCGGGGAAACCTTGGCCCTGCCGGCCGACCACCCCCCCGCGATGGGCATGGCCATCTCCTTCGAGTTTCGCAGCGCCCATCTCCACCTAGAGGGGGTGCGCAGGGACAGCTGACCTAACCACTCCCCGTAGGCGTTGGGATGGCTCCGACGACGATGACCGAAGGCGCATTCTTCCCATCCCGAGTCGTTCCTGGACGGTCCTGAGGCCAGGTGAGGTGCGTGGTAATGTTAGGGGTGACGGGCTCAGAGGGGGAAACATCGACTTGGAATCGTCGATACATCGCCAAAAAACCGGCGATAGGCTCTCGATAGCGAGTCCGCATGGTCCTGGGCGGGGTGGGCTATCGAACTCCTATCGGCGCTGATTGTGCGATTGGACGTCGATGCATCCCCCCCTGAGCCCACTCCCTGACGTGCCCCCTTGGTTTTCGTATCATATCTGGGCTCTCCGGCGGCCGCTCGGGACGATCTGGCACCCCATGACGCTCTCGACGAAGCGCAGCTGATCAAAACCACCCCAGCCCTCGTAAACCAGAGTGCAGTCGGACCTAAGGCAGAGGACACCCTTCAAGAACCCGAAACCCTCCGCAAGCTAGAACACACATAACATCTAAGAGTACCCTCCCCGAACCGACCTCGATCCTATACCTCCTTCCTGGGCCCATCTCCCCCATCCTTGGCCTATCTCCCCCCTCCTGGGCCTATCTCCCGCCTCCTGGGAGTAAAACCTCCGAGAACTTCCCCCTCCTGGGCCCATCTCCGCCCTAAGTGTTGCCCCCCGTGAAGGCCCCCGGAGGCGGGAGGCCCACATGGTTTGACACAGAGGCAGGAGGCTTCGGCACCGCGGGTTCTCGCCTTCGCTCGAATGTCCATTATTCTTGTATGTTTCGGTTTCTATGGACGCTGTGACCTTGGCAAGATGACCCAAACTGCTCATCCTCAAGTTCCTCTTCCTCCCAATCCTCGTTCTCCTCGTCGTCCTCTTCCTTCTCCTCGCCTAATTCTGCTGTTCGGAAAAGAACGGCAAGATGTCCTAAACTGCTCCTCGAAGGTTCTCGCCGAGAAGAAATACGCACGTCCGAGCGATGCCAAGGGTTCGTTTTTCTCCCCGTGCAGGGTTCGGCGTGCGGGCCCGCCTATTGCAGGTCGGCCTTGTTGTCGTTTCGGGTTTGCTTGAGGATGCGGCGGGCGCGCGTACAGCAGGAGCTCGACCACAAGAAACGACCCCAGGACGTCCATCGATGTTTGGTGTGGGAACCTCGCGCTTCCCACGGCAAAACCATTCAAACCCAAGAACCCCTGGGCACCCTGGAGGCGAGCAGGGTGCTTCTTGGCATGGGTCTCCACTGTCTGATGTGGGGTCGGTGGTGCTGCGCTGGAGAAGGAGAAACCTGGAGGCCGAAGATTGCCAAACGCTTCAGTCGTAGCTTCTCGTGCACGGCACGGGGGATGTCGCGGGCCTCCTCCGACCAACCGCCCCTCGCGCCCTCGCGCCCAGCGCGGCCTGTGGAGACTCCTCCTCCAGAGCTCGAGGCTCCTCCTCCTCCAGGGCTTGACAAGGATGAAGATTCGAGAAGGGGGCGATCAATTGGGGGGGGGAGAAAGGTAGGGAGAAATGTACCCTTTTCGATCCCCCTCGCTGCCCCCCCTCATTCATCGCCCTCCCATTCATCGTGGCCCAATGTTAGGGCGTTCTTTGGCCTCCGGGCTCGGGGCTTTATTTTGATGTCACCCCACAGTCGTCTTGGCTTCGGGGCGTCCACGCGCCGACGACTGTCCGAGCTGATAGATGCTCTGACGTCAGGCGACAAGTATAAGCAAAACTGATCGTACGGGATGCGCGATGAGGATGCAAGCCCCGTATGCAAGCCCGTGGGCGCGCATGTCGAGGCTCTTCGAGCGGGGCTGGCCA